GCAGCGGAGGAGTGATGTGGTATCTAGAGATCTGAGTCCAGCGGGCTGCTTGTGTTACCTGTTCATCAGGACATCATATGACCAGCAGATCCTGTGTGAACGCTCTACGTTAGTCAGTGGACGTCCGACAACATGCACACTAACTTATGTTGCAGCTATAGGCTATACTTTGGTTTAAATTGCGTGAATAAACTAGTTAGAGAGCTAAAGTTAATTACATTCATCCAATGTCAGAAGGATTACCTTTTAACAAACATTGTAATGCTTTTATTTGATTTCAATTTGATTAAAACATTGAAGATATAACATTGTATTGTTTTATTTTTACACTGACTCAGATATAATGAAAAGACTACGTCAGTCGAAGCTCAGCTTTGGTAAGGAAGAGACAGGACAGGCAGAGAGAAAGAGAGAGAGAGAAAGTGATGGAAGTCAGGGAGGAACTGCAGGTACAGTCACACACAACAATGTAGGCTTAATAACCCCATCTATGTATCTATCTATCTTCATTTACAATATAGACAATAGGCATACTTTTAACAACATACATCTATTGCAGTTATGATGTCATAATAACATACAATTGTATAAAACACAATTTGCTTACATCTTTGTTCTCTTTTGTGAATCAAACAAAACAGATTTGTATTTAGAAAATAATGCAAACAAGTGAAATGAACTAAATTGCTGAATTGCTTTTAATTCACTGGCAGGAGCGACAAGTGAAGAGGAGCAAAAAGTGAACAACGAGGGAGAGATTGAACAAAGAGAAAGAGTAGGACAGAGAGAATAATGAACAGGAAGAAGACAGAGAGACTCAAGAAGATGGAAGAGAGGCTGCAGGTTATGGAAAGGAGAGAGACATGGGAAATGAATGTTGACAATGTTTTGTGATCATTTTAGCCTCTTCTGCATGTCCAGATCATTAATAGTAACAATCAACTGATTGTTGTGCATTACACTTTCAAAAATAATTGATGCTGCAGCCCACTGACATGGTTTGAAATCAATATATTATCCAATTTGTGACCCCCCCCGGAACTTAAAAAGCACCTAACTAGATCATGAAAATCCCAAAAATCACGGGGGAGGATACCCCCGAACCCCCAGCATGTTTGGACCTCGGTATTTAGCAAATCCTGGATACGGCCCTGGCTGTGAGTGCATGCTCTCATACTTGTTTGATTCTGAAATTGTATATATTTATAGGCTATAAATATATATGTGTGTGTATGTCCGCATCTGTAGCCTGTTATTGTCTCACTACCGCACTGTGAATGAATTACAAAGTAAATATATAAGTCATCATGAACACAGTTCTGTTCATCAGACAGATGGCTGTGCCTCCTGTCATCATTAATGGACGTCTCTTTAAAATGACAGCTCAGAGAGGATTTCTCATTTCTCTAACCGCCAGCTGCTTCCCCTCCTCTCTCCTCGGCTCGCATCTCCTGTGAGCGGGACTAAGACACGAGGATAGGAGTCGAGGAGGGGAAATTAGTTAAATGAGAAAGGCCCATGATGGTTTTGAAGCGAAACTACGGGACGAACCAGTTCCCGCCCGCAGCTCACGCCTCTCTGGTTCGGCTCCTCCTGACGTGGCGAGCCGCTAGAGGACCACCGGTCCCTCCGTGGGCTGCTGCGATTGGACAAACTACTTGTTTGGCAATATTGACGATAAATGTAAATACACCCAGGTGGTAACAACGGCATGGGCGAGAGCTTATGTAAATAAAGGAGAACTGAAAGCCTGTCACTGTTTCAAGGTGCAAACAGCCTCTCTTTGACGCAATGTGTGGCAGATAGGCTTGTTGGAGAAAAGACTGGATTTTTATTCAAGGTAGGCGTGATAACTGCTCTTATCAGCAACTTTTGACAAGTACATGCATTTCCTCGTGGTTTCTGCAGTGCCATATCTTGTTTATGGAGGTTTCACTGTAGCCTATTTGAAGTTGAACCAAATGCCCGCCAATTACAAACACACAGAACATATCTGTAACAGTATATAAACGTTTTTGTGTGTTTTCTGTTAAATACATGGCTTACACGTCAACTTTGGACTGATTTGGGGTCCAATAGCCTACGTGCCACATCCACCTGACTCGCGTTTCCGTGTCCAGGCGGTGACACCCAGCTGCGCAGCCATGCCTCAGCTCACGCGCCTCGCGGTGCTGCAGCTCGTGTTGCTGCTCTCCGCTGTGCCCGCGCAGTACCTCATCTCGCGCTGGAGCGGCACCACGGTGACGCAGCGCTACCACGCGAGCGCACGGTAGGATCCATCCAAGACTGCGTCAGTGTTCCAGGGTGTTATCAACTTTGTATTGGGCAGAAAAAGTATGTGGTGTTGGGAAATTAAACAAAGCTTGCTTATATGTAAAGTATAGTCACTAGTAATAAATATGGTAAGATTACTGCATCCAAATATTACCTTTTCAGTGTTTGTGTCTATAATAATCATGTTGTTTCAGGTTGTTTAGAATTTGGAAAGATTTGAGAACATCTTACCTCAATGGCACAGCATGGATGGACTGGGCAGACCAGCAGATGTCCAGTGCCAAGTGAGTATGGGATATTTTGGAATCAAAAAGGACTGTGATTGTAATAATCATAGACTTTATTTATAAAACACCTTTCAAACAGACTAAGGCATTGCTTTAATATAAAAACATAACACATGTCATACACATAAGAGAATGCAATGTGAACTAAAAGCTTTTGACAAATTGACACATACAACAAAGATAAACACATAGAAAAAATGTAAATACATTCACAAAGCCAATTTTTTTTAAACAATTTGATTGAGACTAAGATGTGCTATGACAAGTGATGTTCAATTGCATTATCTAAAGTTACATCTTTGTTGCAATAGAGAAACAAACAAGCAGGATACTCTTGTTAATGTGCTACTAACAATATATTTTGCTTCCTGAAGGTCTTTACTCGGATTGGAAGAGGAAGAGTTAAAAGACTCACGCCCCATAGAGACCATGCTTTTAGACAATGACCTGGAATTCTTTGGAGGTTTGTGTCTACTTTATATTTTGAAGGCTTTAATCAGTGCATATATTCAGATATTTGTTTTAAGGTAAATCATCTGGAGCCTGTTGCAAGCAAATGAGTAGATTGATGTTTGTGCTTCACTGTTCAGGGAAAAGTTATTGTGAAAAAAGTGAAATGTGCTAAAACTGCATCACAGGATTTTCTTCTTGTTCTTTAACTGCAGCCTCCAAGAAAGTGCGCAGCCCTCGTCCTCCGTATGTGTTCCTGCGTGTTGGAGACGTGGTGATGGAGAGTAAGGGCCACATGGTGGGGGTGGTGGTGAGCTGGGACTCTGAGCTGCGAGCCCCTCAAGAATGGGTGGACAAAGTGTATTCAAACTCTGAGGTTAGCAGCTCTTTGAAAATCCTTTCCTTCCTTATACATTCTGGACTTATTTATATAATTGTTGGAAAGTATAATTGTCACTATTTGTATATATGTGCATGCAGGTCCCCAAAGCAGAGAATACGCCTCATTATAAAGTGCTGTTCAGCGGGCCTGGATCCTCCTCTCTGTTGGTAGCATACTTGCCTCAAACACAGCTGATGCGCTTCACTGGGACAAGGGTATGTACTGGAAAAGCACAGCACATTAACACCCACAATCACACATTTTTACACTGAACAAAAATATAAATGCAACACTTTTGTTTTTGCTCCCATTTTTCATGAGATGAACTCAAAGATCTAAAACATTTTCTATATACACAAAATAACCATTTCTCTCAAATATTGTTCACAAATCTGAAAAAATCTGTGATAGTGAGCACTTCTCCTTTGCCGAGATAATCCATCCCACCTCACAGGTGTGGCATATCAAGATGCTGATTAGACAGCATGATTATTGCACAGGTGTGCCTTAGGCTGGCCACAATAAAGGCCACTCTGAAACGTGCAGTTTTGCTTTATTGGGGGGGTCTGGGGGGGTCCGAAAACCAGTCAGTATCTGGTGTGAGGGGTAGGATTAGGGTTAGGGGTAGGGTTAGGGTTAGGGTAATGTTGTGAATCGAGTGGCCTGTGTTCGTCGTCCATAACATACGCCTGCCCATACCATAACCCCACCACCACCATGGGCCACTCAATTCACAACATTACCCTACCCCTCACACCAGATACTGACTGGTTTTCGGACCCCCCCAGACCCCTCCAATAAAGCAAAACTGCACGTTTCAGAGTGGCCTTTTATTGTGGCCAGCCTAAGGCACACCTGTGCAATAATCATGCTGTCTAATCAGCATCTTGATATGCCACACCTGTGAGGTGGGATGGATTATCTCGGCAAAGGAGAAGTGCTCACTATCACAGATTTTTTCAGATTTGTGAACAATATTTGAGAGAAATGGTTATTTTGTGTATATAGAAAATGTTTTAGATCTTTGAGTTCATCTCATGAAAAATGGGAGCAAAAACAAAAGTGTTGCGTTTATATTTTTGTTCAGTGTACATACGTGTTGTTGACTCACTCTCGGATGTTTCTAGCCGGAGATTCCCACCTTGGAAAACTACTTCTCACATTTTGACGGGGAGCGGTTCGTCATGCAGCCCTGGCTCAGCGAGATGTTTCCAGAGGACGAGAAGGAGGACAAATGACTGCTCAACTGCATGTGGGATCAAAGAGGTGACAATGTTAGCAATGCTAAAAACAACAGAGGATTGGTGGCTATCGCTTCCTAGCCACGGTTTAATGCTAGCTACACTTCCTGTTTGTACCGGTTTGTACCAAGGTGTTTGGGAAACCTCTCTATCAGTTCTCAAGTTCTTTTTTCTCTCCAAGATATCTACTTGAGTCAGTCAATCAGTGCTGAAGTAAGTGCAACGTTTGAGCAAAATGAGGATCATTTTAGAATCCCTCCTTGCCTGATCTTGATGTGAGGGTGTCTTTTGAAATGTAATTGACCTTTTTATTTCTTTGAGATGTACAAATACAAGTGTTTTAATTTGATGTGTCAAAACAAATGATTACCAACATTTCATTTAATGTTCAACTGATTTTAAATTACAGCAATGCATAAAACGATGGTTAAAAAAAAGAAGATGTTTACAAGACCGTGTTGGCTGAGGAAGGAAAAACAACCTTGAAAATCTGCACTTTAGCAATAAAAACTACTTCAAACTGTGACGATCCTCTCTTTGGTTTCATGAGTCAGGGAAATGATTGTGTTTACAGTTTTTTCCTGCTCCTGTCTCTGAGGCTGAAGGAGACAGACACCCGTGAGGAGGCTCTGATATTGGGAATGTGAGGAAGGGGTGCAGAATCCCGGCATTTGCCTCCATCTTCCTCATCCTCACTCCTCCACTCCCTTGTCTCCTCCTCCCTGACCTGAAGGGGGGGTCCCAGAGGTTTGCCCCAGGAGCTGACTGACCTCGCAGGCCTTCTGCTGAGCATTTTCAACCGCTGACACACACGCTCGCCGCCTATAGAGAACAGACAAACACACCACTTACAAATAGTCTGTAAAGATATTAAACAGCTGATAAAATGTGTGTGTTGTTTACCTCATTGACTCAGGCTTTCAGCACTGTGGAAGAAATGTGGCGTTCCCACACAAACACTCTTGTCCAGCTTCTCCAGCAGGACGCTACACACTCGCTCCATTCTTATCAAAATCAGAGAAAGTGAACCTTGACCTGTGGGAACAAAACACATGTAGAGTCAGTGACAGTTTTAAGCAACATTGGATCATTAGTGTTTATCTGAATACTCCACCTCTGCTTCCATGTGATACTGTTCTGCCTCCCGGTGGAGAAACCTCCTCACTGAGGTGTCTCTTTCACTGACACCATGTTGTCTAAGCAGAAGGAATTAATGACAACTGATTATATTCACTACAATATAGGTTATGGTGAAATTAGCTAAAGTACAATCACATCTACATTTTAACAGCATACACGAATTAGAAATACTATATGAACTGCAAGCTGCTTGCCTTACCAACGCTTGTAGTTGTACCTGTGGAAAAACTAGTAATAAATAGATAATACTCCCCGACTTAATTCTATGCCACTTTATACTTATTTTTCGACACATTCTGGAGAGAAAGCGATACTTTTAGCCACATTTAGCTACGTCTCCTACTCAACAACTTTGTTTATTAATCCGCTGAAGTTGTTATTACAAGAGTTACAGCCATACTTAGCTTAGCTACTAGCTAGCTTACGGTTTGCTGTTTAAATTGAATAGTGTATAATGTGTATGTTCTTACCTGACACTTTGTAAAATGTACTCAAGTCTCCGTGTTATGCTGTTGGTCACCTCGTTAACGGACTCTTGTTGTTTGCCACACTGACCCGCAAAGACACTCGGTCCGCCGGGCAACAGACCTCCGCTGTTCCCGTGACCTGAACCTCCCGAGCCTGGTTAACGTTGCCTGTGTTTTGGCTATATAACTACTCGCATTTCGAAGCCATGCTCCTTTTCCTTAACGGCGAATTCCCGAGCAGGCAGCCGGTAGAATCTCAGCGAAAACTCCGGCTCTGATTCTCCATGACGGACACACAAACCAACTTCCCGCTGCTATGGTAATAGACGCAATGCACCTTGGGATTTGTAGGCCATACGCTTGTGTTACACTGTCCTTAGTTAATACACGTTTGATCTCTCTTGGAGTAGTACGAAACAAATATATAATGGTGAAAATATAAACCTTATTTTATTAAATCATTATTTTTTTGGATACCATTCTACTTTTTTCCAACGTAGCCTATGTATTGTTCATTTCTTTACAACGCTTTTCTATTTGACCTCGGTTGGAACGTTTCTGGCTATATCTGAATATGTATTGCAAATTGTGAAAGGTGTGAAGCTTTATAATTCTGTTGTGATAATGATTTGGTTTTCACTGCATGACGCTTCTGCAGCTTGATGATGGTCACGTGATTCAGGTCCCCCTTAAACACACCTGTGATTTGGTCTCCTGATGAGCCAACATTACGCATGCCCAAACATATTGACAGAAAGTGCCTAATTAAATGTCAAGCTTTACATTTTTCTGTTTACACATTGTTTCCAGACAGTTTATAAAGGTTGCAAAACTTCGGAAACTATTGCAGAAGAAATTTCATTTGTTTGAGGATTCGAGGCTAATAACAAATCAAAAAGAGTAACAAACAAAGTGTCCTAAGATTCAACCGAAGCTATGGTTTAAACATAGTTCCGGCCATTGCAGAAACATATGCCCTCCGACCCTCAGCATGACAATTCAGGTAAATTCAATTTTTTAAGAAAAGTGGTTTGACTATATTGGTTATTTATTGGTTCCCAAACTTTTATGTTTCACGTTCTTTCCCAGCTCCTTGCCCAAAATAATGGTCGAAAGCTTGGGTGAAAAGACAGACAAGCACTAGGTTGCAGGTAGGTCGCTATTTCTGTTAAAACACAAAGTAATTGCAACACTATCAGGCCTACAGTACAGAAACAGTTCACGTCAGGCATTTTGAAATGTAGGCCCAACTAGCATGTGGGCATTTGGTGGGTATTCAGCCTATACGTGTTTGGAAATTATTTATTTTTGTTTAATTTCACCCATACATGGATTTGTCTGCTCAAGTTGTTTAATAATAATAGAAAATAGTCTACACAGGAAAAATAAGTAAGCCACTGCAAAAGTGTATCAACATTTTACTTATTTATCTGTATCATCAGCTCACATAATATTGTTTATATACCGGTCTGTGTTGTAAATATATTGGTTCCATTGAATACATATTTTTGTTAGACTTGATAGTCAAAGTTTTCGAAATAATACAGTACAAAAAAAGAACAGGATGTATTGGCATTATTACTGTTTGGTCAGCAGATGGCAACAAAGTACCACATAACAGCATAGAAACAATATGGCAGAGCATTTGAAGTGATGGGATAAGTACAGCCTGGTCTCTTTGAAGTTACTTGTCCTAACCATCACATACTTGATTTTTGGTAATAATGTATTCAGTTTATAGCGAATCATATTGTGAGTATCAATACGTTTCTCATTTAAATGTATACATTGATAGTGGTTCTTAATGATTAGTGAATTGAGTTTAATATCCTAAGCAATGCTATAATAGTCAACACTAAATCAATTATCAAACAAAATGTACTGTCAGTTTCTTGTAAGTTAGTTACACAAATATTGATTTGCATGAAAAAGATATTTGGCCTAATGTATCTCATTAATCCGTCATAAGATAAGATATACTTTATTGATCCCAAATTGGGAAATGTTTCTCTTTAATGCAGCATTGCACCTCATTAGTAAAAATATAAAGTGTAGAAAATAAACAACATAATATGTACATCTTAAAATAGTAGTGTGGAAGCATATAAGCTGCTATGTACAGTATCGTGGAACTTTTATTTGCCTTATTTCATTTTCCAGGATATTTGGGAACAGCAAAGATTGATCCAATTCTGGACACGGGTTTCTTTAAACAACAAAGTTGTTTGGTTTCCCTGGTGTAATTAAACTGTGTGAAACAGGCTGTTGTAATCACAACCTAAAAATACAAGGGCCATATTGTTGTTATTGTCTCTGGTTTCGCCGGTCCCCCAGTATGCTCTGTGAAACTCTAGATCTGAAGCACAGCTTCAGCCAAGAGAGATGCAGCACCCTACAGGCTATTACCATATGAGAGAGAATGAAGAAGATACTTTTTTACTGTAGAATCAAGTCCAGAGCATTTTCCTTGCAGACATATTTTACCCATCTGTTGCTATAATATATCTTATCATGCTTGTTGTTACTCTATTTCTTTTACAATCATTTTAAATGCCAAGAGTAGCTGGGGGTTGTTGTAATAAAGGAAAATGGCTGTAAGTTACTTATTCAGTTGGCAATCATCATAAGGTTACCGACCACTTACATAACAAGAATCCATTTTACTATTAAAAATGCTCCTCCTTGTCTTATATTTATACAACCATGTGTTTTATAGTAGTTAATAAACGCACCATGAAATAATGTTAAGAGTTATGTAAACCAAAAAAAGGTTGGTTGCTGAAGTAACAAGCGGAGTGAAGTGAATTAAACAGGCTTTGCCCTCCATTGTGTCCTTCGTGACAAAGTGTCTGGGGGTCCTTACATGGAGACTGTGGCCACTTGGGGAAAAGATCTGACTGTAATGGTCTCTGAATCTGTTGCTGTCTCTCTCACTCTCTCAGATGAAGTAATAAAGTTAGCTGTGTTGGAGGCCCTCCATGGTCTCTCCATAGACCACAATCAAGGCCCATGCAGTTTTATTGACCGTTTTATTTTCATATTGTCAAGAAATCTCCAGACTCCCCCCCTGTGCCCATTGCCATAAATTAAATATTTGGACTGCTTTCTTTCTTCCACTCTTGCGTTTTTGTATTTATGGGCGAAGGCGATAAAACATGCAGCTGTCATCTGTCAATGACTTTTATTGTGAAAAGAAAAAAAGTAAAGTTTCATTTTTTATATCCCTGCAAAATCTCTTTCCCTTTTTAAAAACGATGCTGATAGAATGAGAAAAACACAATAAACGGACATCTTTCATTGTTTACGTTTCCAGACTTTTCCGATGAACAGTTTTATTGGTTACAGGCATAAAGCGCTGCCAACAATAGGTTCAGGTGGTTATCATTGTTCCATCAGCAGGAGGTGCTCTGAACTAATAGTCAACTTACAGCTCAAGCTGCAGCGTATCTGTTTGTTAGATAGAATATGTCATGTTGATGTTTGACTGTTTTGGATTTCTAGTTTTAACACGAAGGAGAGTCTTAACAGCTGTGTAATTTTACCGGACACAGGGGTCATAACACTTCTACACTATGACCTGAAATGGGAAGGGGCAGTGTATGCATGAAAAGACGTGAAGATGGCTAGGGGCGTAATGTAATTGAAGTACATTATCTCAAGTATGGAACGTATGTAAGATTTGGGGTTCTTGTACTTTTACTTGAGTATTTTTATTTTACGCTACTTTATACTTCTATTCCACTACAATTTGGAAGCCACCAATATTGTACTTTGTTACGCCACTATGTTTTTTGGCAAAAATATGTTCTAGTAAAATGAAGTGAAATATAATTATAGGTTAAGATAACCAGCAGCAGTATATAAAGTAGCTCCACCTTTTAACAGCAAAAGAAAATCAGTAAGGAAATATAGATGATTCCACAATGGGACATAATGAATAATTTGTATATTTTTCTTTCATTATATTTGAATGCCATTACTTTTGTACTTTTACTTAAGTAAGATTTTCCAAGTGTGGAGCGTAAACTCCTGCCTCAGCTGTAGTCTTGGTTGTAACCAGAATTGAAGTCTTAATTATTCAAGACAGATTTCTCAAAGCTCTTAGAGAATTATGCCTATTAGTCCTTATTTGAATTCTCATATTTGGTTTTGATAAGTGCTGAAATATGCTTACTCTTAACATGAAAGTCATGACCTTTTATATGGTTTTATAATTTAGTTTGCTAAGTCACATTTTAAATGGAGTTGTTAATTGTATGTCTCATATATTTTGTATTCAGTCAACTGCTGAAATGTATTTTCTCTCAACATTAAAGTGATATGGTGTTGTTGGCGATAGATACTGAACAACAACACGAAATGAGCTCATGTCGAAGTTTTAAGTGTCTAATTTTTACCATCCAGGAAATACATATTGAGGACACGGCCTCTGTGTCCTCAACAGGAGCTGTGGACCCTGGCTGTTGTGGGACGGCTCTGGTGTCCCCTATAGACATCTCTGTACTTTCCATATGTGAACTGTACTGAAGCGCCCGTTAATCACCTTAGATTTATCAGAAGAAATGCAAGCCATGAATGAGAACAATTTAAATAAAGGTATAACATCATGAGTTATTAAGTAAAGTGGTTTTTAGCATTTCTCTAAAATGCTACAGAGAGAGCATTACATCGTTTCTTATTCTGGGATTTTTACATTTTAATTCTCAAATTGAATTTACTAAAATGGAGGGATTTGATAAAAAACCTAACCCCTGCATATAGAAGTTTATTGTAATTGTATTGTTGGCCATTTTTGTTTTAGATACATTATATAGTATTTAACACACATTTAAAAACAACATGTTTGTAGTTTGTGTATTTCAGATTAATTTAGGGAACGCGCGTTATTTGCTAATAGCTACAGGTTCATTGTTGAATATTATAAAATAGTTCTTAGATGCAATTACATTTGATTTCCCATTATGTTTTGGAGTGATTCCCAAATGACATGAGAGAGGAGCAGGCAGGCTCTGCAGATCTCTTCAACTCCGCATGTCACTAGTATTATCTGGGGTATTTATCTCATGCTGTCGCTCACTCCACAGCGGCCATCTCTGTAAACAGTTCGTAGTCAAATAAACAGGCCTGTCCACAGCCGTCTGCTCTCCTGTCCCTGAATAGACCCTTTGTATCAGCAGATATATCTACATGTCATACCAGGGGAGAAGCACAGGGTGTAATTATTGACATTGATTATGCATCTTGTATTATGGATGCCATTTGGCATGCTGCTGACTCACTACAGCAGATGAAGAGGAGCTGTCATTACCATTGTTAGATGACAGCTGTGCTTCTCCT